ATTACTCGGCTTGTGTTGGTGCACACTGTCTTCTCTTCTTCTTAAGAACAGTACGAGCTGTTTCTTCTACAGGGGGTTTTCTGTCACACAAAACTGTCAGCAACACTTTCTGGAAGGTAGTGATGACAAAGACAGCAAAAAAATCTAGTTTGAACCTGGTGTCCAAGTGATTGCCAGCAGTTCTTTGGGCACTTGTTCTTCAACTGTTCTAGTTCTACACAAAGTGAAAGTGGTCTACGTAGAGAGATAGTTACTCACTCCATTCTGGCTCTTCACATCATTTTATAGCTATATGACTTTTTATTTTTGGTCTTCATTGATGTTATATTAAAGATGACTTGGTAAGATTGAAGATTTGCATTTGCCTTTTGGTCTGTACTTTAAGTCTGTCGTTGTTGTGTGTACTGTGTGTACTTGGGTGTGTATGATTGTACTGTGTGCTCCGATTCATTGTGGACATGATTTATAAGAAATGTCTCTAAGTTTGATGAACTCAAACTTTAGAAGAATAGGGCTGGAACTCGGGACCTGTGTGCCTTGAAGCAAGGGCTCCAGTCATGGACACATAGACATAACTGCTTTCGTGTTGTGTTCGCTGCCATTTTCAACACATTCTCTACCCTCGGTTTACACAATTTAAACTGAATCGTCTTATTAGACATCACAAATCAATGTTTTTTATTTAGTCCACACAAAAACAGGACAATGTGTATACCAGGGCAACATTTTATTTTTCCAAGGAAATGGAAAGTTTCAACATGTTGAACGTACATTTCTGACCACCACTGACAACATACATTTGCTGCATTATTTTATAAATATATCGCCAGCAACAATGCCCCTCTACCGTGGTGAACCAGACGCAATGTTGAATGAAACGAGGTTCTGTGTTCTGTGTCATGAATCATTTGTTCTGGCTCCTACACTGTCATCATTTTTTAAAGTACAGTATAGTATAAGCAATCTTTACACTTTTACAGAAGAGCCAAAAAACTGAATGTGTTACCAAAAAGAAACAACAAACCCATTAGCTTTAATTGAAAAGATAATAAAGAAGTCATTATCAAAATTGTATTATTAAAAAATATTGACTTGGACTTGATGTTGCAAAGAGTGTTTTTTCTTGGTAGCAACATTCTGGGTTTTTTTTATGGTTGTCCTGTAAAATCGTTTAAAACTGCATTATACTGTACTTCAAAAAAAATTATGTCAGTATATAAGAGAAAGAACATTCACAGTAATATTTGGTTTAACCAACATTAAGATGGATATAATTTCTTTCTTTTTGATGACACTTGGCACCTTACAAAAAAGGGGACATGGGACCCCCCCCAAAAAAGGTTTTGCATAACAATCTAGAGGTAGTAGAAGAAAGTCTCATCACAATTGGCTCAAGCGATGTTGAGCAAAAATAGGTTTGTTCTTGCAGCATCAGATAATGGTAAAGGAAAAAGAAAAAGAATCTTGTCTTCGTTGCTACAAAATAAGAGATGTGGTGGTCAAGCATTTCATGCACACAGTGTAGCAAAAAAAAAACAAAAAAAGAAATTTTATAAATAATTTTATACATAGCATAATGGCTTTTTTAACTGATGGGCCCAGCTCAGTATAGGTCATAATGCACTATCAAAAGTGGGCTGTACTGTGAAGAAGTCGCTATGCTATGCTTTCAACTTTAACTGCGCCCAATTTTTGCTAGTCAGGACAATGAGCAGTTCCAACCATTTTGCAGCCCCTTTCAAAGTAAAATTCCGGTCAAAGCTACAGTAGAAGTTATAAAATTGTGTATGGTGCATTTTGGGATGTACATTGTATGGAAAGATGGCATCTTGGCTCCAAACGTTCGACCTATAGTGAACAGGAGCTGTCAAGAAGGGGGTTAATGAAGTGATTCCTTTTCTTTCACTTCCTAGAAATGCAGACAATGGTCCAAGTAGTATTAAGTAATATATTACTCTTTGTAACAGTTTATAAAGTTCAGGCTAAACGTGGCCTGTGTAAATGCACTTGGAAAACGCAAAACAAATTCTACACGTGTGTAATTACTGTAATAGTAGTGTAAATACAACAAAACAACTCCATGGTAAAACAACAAAAATGGCACAGGGGACAACAAGATTACCGTTTTTACTTGGTTATAAAAAAAAATAATTTTCTTTCAAAGGACCGGTACAAAGTAAAATAGCAACAGCTGTAAAAATGACCACAACAGCAGTGGTGGTCAATTCTTTGCGCACACATCACTTTGATCCATCACACTCGGGTCACCTGCTTGGAAACCCAGGAAAATAAATAATAAATCATATATTGCCTCTTTCACTTTCAACGAAAGACTGGCTGGTTGAATGCAGGATAGTCTCTTGTCTCTTCCTGGTTAAAAAATCTAAGCAAACATTTCATATATAATATATATGGTGGTGTGTGCTCAACCTGACCACACTTGGGGGGAGGGAGGGGGAGGAAATATGAACCGGTCGAATAAAGAACAAGAATGTTCAAAGACAGCCAATGCTGCTATTATTCATATAATGTATAAGGCTTGTATTGAAAGTAGTAGATTTCTACTTTCTCACATCACAGCAGGGGGACAGAGAGGAAAAAAATTAATCCTCCTGATGAAATGTTCACTGTCCGGTATAAATTGTAAAGGAATGAGCCTAGACAAAGCAGCATCGGTATTTGACAGGAAAAGGTTTAAAACTCAGTGACAATAGACAACCAGGCAACAGGATGCCTTTCGCTTTTACTTTCAGGTTTGAGGGAAACCAGGACAGTGCAGTCTTCCTACTTACTGGCAACATGGCCGACACTTTTGCCAATTTTGTTTGACACAATTACCCCATTATTACCACAACTTTCTTTGAAACTGTTTTATCTGACAAAGAACTAGACTCTACATACCGGTATCCACAAACAGAAGCCTGCTAATGAAAGAACGAAATAAAATAGATAAACAGAACATTGTCGTTATCATGTGTAAAACAAACGCAAATTCAAGGTTCTCTACCTCGGTCAGACAAAATACAAGAGACATTCCCACATGGCGGCGATGACATCATAATAATAATATAATGTCAACTAAACACCTCAAAGCACCCTGTACAACAACAAGCAACAGCTTTGGGAACACAGAAGAACCTGCCGGGCAAAAATAAACAAACGACAGCTTCTCAAAACTGAACTAATGCCCAGACCAAACTTTTCTTGCAGTAGGTCAAGAGTAAAAAAAAGTAAAAGTAACAAGAGAAGGCTCATTTTGGTCTTGATCAGTGTTGTAGGCGGTGGCAGGGGATTTCTAAGGAAAGGTCGTCCATCTCACAGTAGTTGAGGCAAGAAACAACAGTTTCTGGGAGATGGAAGCATGTCTGACAAGAAGCATTATGTTCTCCTGTCTACTGTCTACATGCCGGCTGGGGTCTCTGACTCTTGCTTGATCTCCTCAGTCTCTACCTCGTCCTGGTCGTGTTGGAGTAGACCTGCAGGGCACACACACACAGGGAGAGAGAAAGCAGTGTTGTGAGTCTCAGAGGAGACAATTAAAACATCAAATTTCTCAAATCTAGGTACAGTATAATAACAAAGATATGTCCAACACAAAAGACTCGAATTCACGGATCCGTCGAACTGCGCCTGCGGTCCCGTTTTTTCTCTCTTCTTTATCTTTGCAAGATATTCCTCGAACTACGGATCCCCCGTAGTACCAAGGCCGGTCCCGTCAAATTCAAGCTATCCATGTTATACTGTAGGCTATTCCTACAGAGCAGACAGAACTTTGTATGTAATTCTAGGGTAGCGATATATGCCAGATGGTGTCAATGGATGTAACTCTTTTTGAACTACAACAACTTGGGAGAGTTTTGTATGCCATCAGTGGTTGAGTGGTTAGGTTCAAGGATTCTTAACTCTAACGTTAGGAGAGAGAGAAGGAGAGAGAGTAATGCAGTGATTAAGCAAGCCCACGCAAGCCACGCTACTGCTGCAAGCACACGCATCAGGTGAAGCAAGAGAGGGCTGCGGTGTGCTGCAGATTTCGGTTTTCTAATCCTTAGTCTAGCTACATGCACGCGTAATGTGTCATGCGCAGGCCTGCCAATGGCCAAAACCCCCGTTCGCGCGTACTTGTGGCAAGGGAAACTACCCATGAATAAATAAGCTGGATTAGTCCACAAATGCTTACTTCCCTTGCATTTCTGATTTAACAGGGATAGGATATAACACTAACAGGACATTTTCTATGGTCCCACCATCCCTGTTATATCAGGATTCCACTGTATCTGTAAAACGCAAATATGCTTTAAAGTGTGGATATGCATAATATAAATGCACTTATTATTAGCTTGGAGGGAGTTGTCTGTTGAAGACACAAGGACATAATAAGTCATTACTAACAAGCACTCACATAAATAATTATATAGGCCTATCTATCATTTATAGAGGCACCAGTTATCCATGTCTAGAAGTTGCTGTTTTAACCACAAGCACTCACATTTGGCAATCCTCTCCAGTATATCTGAGGCGCAGACCTTCTTGAACTCGTTGGTGTCGATCTGGTAGGGCCTGATCAGTTTCTTGAACTCATTCCAGCTGATCAGGTATTTGTTCTGACCTCGCAGGATTTTGGGCTGTGGGTGGGGCAGAAAAATCATCATGAAATATTTTCACCAGGAATTACAAAAATAAACTGCTACAATGGAGTCTGCTTAACACTTTGCCATCACAAGGTTCATATATAGAAAAAACCCTTGCCATCAAAGGCAACTGCATTTTGGGGGAAAATCCAAAGAAACTGGGTGGTAAACATCGCCAATCGGCGAGACGTGATGGCAAAGTGTTAACTCTTTAACTTTTTAACCCCAGGATTATTTTCCACGTTTTGAAGGAATTTTTTTCCAGACCTCGTGAAACACATAACAGGGGATACATGCAAAATATTCATAAAATTGCTAAAATAACCGTTTTATACATATATCTAACACTAACACCTTCGAATCAATCTAAATCTATTCTGATTTGTAAGAGATTGCATCATTAGCAGTAAGGCTTTATACATCTCGAGGTCTGACTGGACGCTGGGACCTTCCACTCGGGGACCAGGCGAGTTTCCCAGAACATGGCATTTTTAAACTCACCTGAAGAGCACTCACTAGTAAAAAAGTGCCTCGATTATAAAATTACTGGTTTATGAAACGGGTTCAGTCAACCTCACCCACACACACACACACACACAGATGTGATATATATATATATAGCGGGATACAGTAGGCCTAAGTTCCTCCACTCACCTGTCCATTATAGAGCACCTTGACGTAGAATTCACTGGACTTGGGGTCCTGGTAGAGCTCCACCCGCACCTCCACGCCGTAGGGAGGCCAGGTGTTGTCCCAGATCCCCAGACTCTCCATCACCGCCGCCATTGTACTGTCGTGGGCCGAGTACAGGCACAGCTTGAAGCCTCTGATGATGGGGGGAGGGGGGAGGGATAATAGATAGCATTTGTATCTATAGCGCAAATCCCCGCTCAACAGCAAGCTCTATGCGCTTCACAATCTATACTATTACTATTACCCCAGCACACCTGAGAGCGTTCTGAAACGACTTCAACTTTCTGAGAAGCATACAGTGCAAGCAGGCTTTTATAGGCGCTAAAACACTAACATGCCGACAAGATCTTTCGCTGTCTATGGCCGGGTACCCATTCCCACCTGGGTGAAGTGAGGAAAATTCGTGTAAAGTGCCTTCCCCAAGGACACAACGTCGGGCCCACCACTCAAACCCCCGAACCCGCAACCTCACGATTACGAGTCTGGTAGCTGAACCATTTGTCCACCGACGCCAACAATGGAACAAATGGTTAGCTTAGTTTAATAACAGTTTTACGGCACTTTGCAACGTAATCAGGTCATATAAGTGCCGAAGATCAGATGTGTTACAACAAGAGAGTAACAGTAACATACACAAAAAAGAAGGAGGGGAGATAAGTACGACAGATATTTGATAGGAAAGAAGGAGCAGACCACACCAGAGCACCCGCCAACCACCCTTGAACAAACAGTTGATGTCAAAGATCATACTACTGCTACAATCGACTACGGATGAGTTGATGTTGTCTGAAAAAAAAAGTTGGGACCTGAAAAAATCTGTTCACTGAGTGTGTTTCTCTATGTTACTGTTTGCTATGTGTATGGTAGAATACATCTTAGTTTTTAGTCTCTCCACCACTTACTCTCTGCACACTTTCACATCTCTCTCTCTCTCTCCATCACTTTCTCTCTGCACACTCTCACATGTCTCTCTCTCTCTCTCCACCACTTACTCTCTGCACACTCTCACATGTCTCTCTCTCTCTCCACCACTTACTCTCTACACACTCTCACATGTCTCTCTCTCTCTCTCCACCACTTACTCTCTGCACACTCTCACATGTCTCTCTCTCTCTCTCCACACTATCTCTCTGCACACTCTCTCTCCACCACTTTTTCTCTGCACACACACACACTCTCTCTCTCTCCCTTTCACTCTCTCTCTGTCCCCACTTACTCTCTGCACACTTTCACTTGTCGCTCCGCCTGGGTGAGGAAAAAGCCGAGCAGGGGCCCGCAGGCCAGCCGCGTGACGATGGGTCTCTCCGCCTCGTGCTGGCCGGTCATGGCGAAGAACAGCAGCAAGGTCGCGTTCTCCTCGATGGTGTTCTGGAAGGGCTGCACAGCGGTCGGGTACTTCCAGCCGTGGGCCTGGAGGTGAGGCGAGGTAGAAACCCCAACATAAAATGTTATAGTGTGTGGAGGCTGGTTTTTCTTTCTGCTCTTACTACAAGTTTTTGGATGATGAATGAATACTTTACTTTTACTTTATTTTCCGATCCAGTGGCCATTTGGGTTCTAGCCCTTCGGTCTGTCGATATGGCAAAGAATTTGCAGGTTTTAATCAGCTGTGCTTTGTCGCTGTATAGAGTATTTCCGATGTCTGGGGAGGCAGGTTGGTAGGTGCTACACAGGTCACAAAGTGCTGGGCAGTTAAAGAGGTGGATGATGAATGACAACATGATACCGATGGCTGGGTGCAAAACTCTGACAAATTCCAAATTGCACAATGGTGTTTGTCAGAGTCTAACATCGAGCCACTGACTGATATGAATGAAAATATTTTTAACCCCCCCCCCCCAAAAAAAAAGAATCCCCAAACAACCCCCCCCCCCCCCCCCCGTTGTTGGTTGGATAGAAACATACTTCCCGAGACGACAGACAGAAAGATAGGGAGACAGACGCCCCGGGTGTATAGGTAGCTCGAACCCAAAAAAAAAAACGTGCATTTTTTGATAGAAAAAATAAAAAAAAAAGAATCCCACCCTTTTTCTGTTTTTACTCCATGCATGGATGAAAAAACTGGAAGGAGAGAGGAGATGCAGTTTTCTATGGTAGGCCAGCTCCGCATCTCTTTTAGTTGTGATATTATATTTTCTCAGGGTTTCCTTGACATCCTCCATTCACCTTTTGCATGGCCTTCCTCTTCCTTTACAGCCCCACAAAAAAAGTAACGTTTAAAAAGTAGAAGGACCAGACCACACCCAAATACCCACACACCCCCAGTAACATCCCATCCAGTTACGGCTGATTCACATATCATGTACACTCACCACTCTGGCTACCACATCATCACGGGAAAACACAAAGTTTATTTTCTTGTGGTGGGGGTCCTCATGTGGGGGGTTATTCTGCAACAAAACCAAAACACAGAATCTTTTAGTTTTAGTTTAGTATGAGTTTTACGGCACTTGCAACACAAAAAGGGCACATTAGAAGTGTTACAAGAGGGTAACAAACACAAAAAAGAAGAAAGGGAGATAAAGACGATAGATGTTTGATAGGAAAGAAGAAGCAAACCATACCAGAGCACCCGCCAACTACCCACACACAGACTCTGGGATGAGACACAGAAAGAGTTGTGAGAGTTACAAACATCTTATTCTATACTTTCAGTTTTAATGAGAATTTTACATCACTTGCTACAAAAATAGGTCATATTATAAGTGCCAAAGATTAGAGGTGTTACTAGAGAGTAACATACAAAAAAAAGAAGAGAGATTAGGACAACAAATATCTGATAAGAAGGAAAGAAGAGAACAAAATCTCACCCGATTACCCGCTAACGACTCACTCCAGACATCGCCAACAGCTGATGTTATGCTAAGTCTCAAGTAAAAAATTGATGGGAATACTCTCAGCAAAATTCGCTGTCTCCCTTGTACGAATAACATAAATTTTCATTGCCTGCATATCTTTACACAAGCTGATGAACAAAAAGTTAGAAAAAATGGACAGACAGAATAGAAATTATGTGGGTTCTATTCCCCCCCCCCCCCCATCATCCTAACACTGTAGGCTACAGTACTCTTTAGCCAGCGGGGAGGGAGGACACACACACACACACACATGCACGCACGCACACACACACACACACACAAGCCACACACGCACACACACACAAGCCACACACGCACACACACACACACACACGCACACACACACACACAAGCCAGTACCTGCAGAACACTTATAGGGTCAGGCCAAATCTCTTCACGTATCACTTTCCCTATAACGTCCTCCTCCTCTTTGGCGGGTCGTGTGAGCCACGAGAAGAAAGACTTGGACTGGGACGAGCTGCAAACAATGGACAGAAGTTTGTTTGTGTTAGTAAGTGTTTTACGGAACTTGCAACAAAATAAGGTCGTATAAGAGCTGGAGACACCCCATCCCCCCTGAAAAACAGCACCCCTGTTGTTACTATCGTATCCATACCACTTGGGGAACTCTGTGCCACCACTTTCCAAAGAGGAAATTTACTCGTTAATCTGATCCGTACGGTTTGTACAGCAGTCTGTCAAAATATTTTTTATAAAAAACCCTGAAAGTTTCAAAGTAATCTTCATTCTAGAAGTATTCTAAAGTGTGAAGAATACAACCTCGGGGTACAAAATGACCCAGGGCGTATGGATAGGGTTAAAATTCAAGCAGGTGGCACAAGCTTTAGAGGTCAAGGACATCTTACTTGTCATCCCCGCTTGTTTTCTGGGCATCTGGCTCCGAGGGTTCCTTGACCTTTGGCTCCTGGGAGGTCGGTGCAGGGGGACTCTGAAATAGCAGCAACAAATATTGAGTGCCCGCCAGTGAAGGCCGCCAGAGTGTAAGTACAGGTGGAATGGATAAGGAAAAAAAAGAATAATAGAAACTAAATTCTTATGTTTGACACCTCAATAAACACAATTTAGGTCAATTACTTTTTGGGTATTTTTTTAGTATGAGTTTTACTGCACTTGCAACACAATCGAGTCATTATATAATAAATGCCCAATTTTAGAGGTGTTACGATAGAGTCACATACAAAGAAAAGAAAGAGGAGAGATAAGTACAATAGAGATGTTGGATAGAATGGGAAAGAAAGAGCAAAGCACACCAAAAACACCCGCCAATCACCCAGTTGTTTTTTTGTTGTTTTTTTTTTGGGGGGGGGGGCTTTGCAATGCATTTCAACAGCTTGAATTGTCACTGTTAGTGAGAACAGAAGTGAGAAAAAATCCTTTGAGGACAATAAAGTTCAGTAACTATGTCATCCATTTTTATTATACAACAGAGCACATTGGCTAAAACAGCACCTGGACATGGATGGCTGGTGCCTCTATAAATAAATCATTGATGGTCAGGACAACAGAACACTCAAGCCACTTTCAAACAGGTCACAAGATATAAATAAGGAACAGCAACAAACACTTCCTCATATAGCCTATATATCTGAGAACGACAGAAGGCTCATAAAAATGAGAAAAGAACTGTTTTAGAATTTTAGTTACGGTACCCTATCTGAACATACCTGTTCCTCCCCGTCTTCAGAAATTTTCACTTTCTCTTCCTCTGCTTTCTTCATCACAATATATTCTGACGGTGTCATATTCCCAAACGGTTCTGACTTTCTTTCTGGTAGAAGATTCTGAAAAAGAACATCTGCGCTGGTGAATAATTCCCCATTAAATTAAAAACAAGTTTTGACACTTTTCAAACAATCTTCGGTGTTGTTGTTGTTGTTATTGTTGTTGTCATCAACCCAACAACCCTTAGACTAAATCTCCTGGGTCCAGTGAAATGTTGGGGAGGGTGGGGTCTTCAAAAGCTGTTCTCTAAGGCTGTAAACTGTAAAGCCGTGAAGGCAACTTGATTCAACAACCTTTACATTACATCTTTTTCTATTATTACCATTACATCTTTTTCTATTATTACTATTACATCTTTTTCTATTATTACTATTACATCTTTTTCTACTTTTCAGTTCTTGCAACAAGGCTAAAGGAAAGGTGAAGGTAAGTACTATACTGCATAGTTATATTCTCAGTAAGAGTTTTATGGCACTTGCAACACAAATAAGTCATATAAGTGCCAAACATTAGAGGTGTTACAAGAGAGTAACATACAAAGATATGAAAGTTTGCTTATGTCTACAAAGTGTATCTCTTCATGTTCACTCACTCACTTTTGTTTTGTGTTGAAATGAAGGCATTGTAAAGTGCCTAGAGCAGTATTGTAAGGGAGTAGGCCTTATTGAAATGATCTGCATTATTATTATTATCATTAATATTATCATTACTATTATAATACACTTAGAAATAAGAGTCAACAATGTCCTCACCCCACACGGCTTCCACCTGATCTCGGAGGACCACGAGGGCGCCACGTCTTCTCTGCCTGGACTGTACACTTCCTTGACCAACATATCGTTGTAGAAGTACGGGTTCCTCTCAAAATGCTGAGGACAAACAAAAACAGACAGCGTTATTGTCCATGCTGGTAGCCACACCATCTGCAAATCTTGTCAAGCTGAAGTTTACCACAAGCGACCCCCTCCCTACCCCCCTTTAAAAAAAACCTAACTCACTCGAACCTATTCCCGTGTATTAACAGGACACCCCGCTAGCCCCGTGGCCTAATCCCGTGTATTTACGGGATGCGCATTATCTATTGATATCTCCTGTGTCTTTCGGTTACAAACTACGGGAAGCGGCGAGCCAACAATTGACCCACTTGTTTTGTCTCATAAAAAATTTTGTTAAGTTATTTGCCATACTTTTTGAGCTGTAACGGACTAAGTCAGTCGCCCCTGCATTGTTATAGATGATTTTATTATATATTTGGGGAAAAAAAAAATACTCATAAATGTGTACCTATAACCAAACAAAGTCTCTATTTACAAACGTGTATCTATAACTCAGATGTAAAGTATACTTACAAATGTGTACCTATAACCAGACTGAAACTTCCCCTGAAACTCTTCCACCTCGAGCCTCTTCATGTAGACGAGCGCCTTCATGTCGTCCTCCGTCACCGACTGGCCCAACTGCGGATGTCGGCTTAACTGTACCATTTGTCAAGGTCACTCAAACTTTTCTCTCCACATGGCTAGTCACTAAACTGTCAGCATCATCATAGTGTTAGTTTTAGTAGGTGTTTTACGGCGCTTGCAACACAATAAGGTCATATAAGTGCTGAAAATTAGAGGTGTTACAAGAGAGTTACAAACACAAAAAAGAAGGAGGGGAGAAAAAGACGATAGATGTTCAATAGGAAAGAAGAAGCAAACCACACCAGAGCACCCGCCAACCACCCACCATCATAGTGTGATACAAGTGGAAGTGTAAAAATACTAAAACTGAAATATCCTTTTTAGCTCAACAAACACTTTGGGCTTACATAGATCTTCTTAAGGTCGGTAAGAAAGTTCCCTTTAAGAGAAAACAAGAAGGTAAGATAGATTAAGATATGATAAATAAGATTAAGATAACATTTTACTGATCTCCACAAATAGAAACTTGCTACAGCTTGGCAAATACATATAAATGCACACACAACACACATGAAACACACTCTCGTGCTCTCGCTCACTCACACACATGCACACACGCACATTTAGATACTCGGATGCACACACACAAATAGTCAATGAATAAACACACAAAAATAATGTTTTTCTAATACACCTGAAAATTAGTTTGTTTAGTTCGGTGGTTGTGAGTTTTACTACACTTTTTACCAATTTACCAACTAGGCGAGGATCTCTTAAAACATTTTTTGCGAGTATGCGCCATCATCCCTTTGGTCAAGGATACCACATCCGCCCAAAAGTGTGTGACTTTCTCCGCGGCTCGACCCCTCTCTTGGGTCAGCGGGTACATATCCGGGTCGTGGAGGTACGGCCGGCGTTGCTGGTTGAACCGCATGCTGCACGGGCCGCGCCGCGTCGTCTTGTAGATCTCGTTCTGGTGGCTTACTTTCTTCTGGATTTTCTCCACAGCTTTCATGTGAAACTCTTGAAAACTTTCTGAAGAAGGGAAAACAAAAACCCCATAGTATTTCCATGTTGTTATTTGTGCTTGGGCTGTATAAATGGCATATTCTATTGAAAATGTTTCGTCACGCATTAGAAAAATATGCCTTCTGATTTACGTAATGAGAGAAGACAAAAAAGCTAAAGAACAATGCCTTTAGAATAGTCTAGCACTCACATGGCAAACATTTTCAGGTCCTGAATTTTTAAAATATAAACATTAATTCTTTTTTTAAAAACATATACATTGCAAAATTCGTACATATCGAAAAATGTCCGTCCAATTTCGCTATGTGCCTGCTAGACTGTATTTTTATAGAAAATGCTGACTCCTGATTTTTATTTGAAGATGAGCGCACCAATTATCATATCATAATATATCTATATATCTATCTATATATATATATATATATAGGCCTAATGTTGGGAAGAAGCAAGGTGGAGAGACAGAAACAGAGGGATAGTAAAAAAAAGTAAAACCCACTGGGGACGCCCTCCAAACACCCATCCCACTTAAATTTTTAAAAAAGGTTAAAATTTGTAGATTTTCAATGGATGCCACTTTCTTCAAGTTTAACATGTCTTTTAGCATTTCATACTAGCCTGAGTATGTTGTACAAATTCGAACTATAAATTTGATGTATCTATGTCCATAGATTAGTGAAAATAAAATAGAAGCAACAGAAATGTGGTTTCTTAGGAGACTGCTAAGAGTATCGTGGAGGGAAAAGAAATCAAATGAGGTAGTGCTTGATGAAGCCCACGTGGGACGCTCAATGTTAAAAACAATCAGGAAACGACAAATGCGGTTTTTGGGACACCTGAATAGACATAAGGGTCTTGAACATCTAGCTCTCACTGGCAAAATTGAGGGCAAGCGAGGCAGGGGTAGGCCCAGAACAACATATTTAGGGAACCTAAACAAATGGTTAACAGGAAAAGATCAGGGAAACGTAGCTTTTTTGAGAGCATCCGAGCAAAGGAATGAATGGAAAACTATGATTGCCGATGTCTGTCGCAGATCTGGCACTGGATGATGATGATGATGTCCACAGATTAAAATCAGAGAAGCAACTTATTTTTACCACCTTAGAATAAAAAAATTCTATCTGCTCAGTAGGCCTAGATCTACCTAGTTTTGAGAAATTTGACGGAAAAAAAATTTGAGTTCCACAACATGTTTATTTTTTTCTAATCCAATTCTCTGCTGAATATGTCGATAACGACGTCACAATAACCTTATGATTTTGTTAAAGAATATAACATTTGGTGTCAGATAGAACATGGTAATTCTAAGGTCGCATTTGGTCAGCACGTCTCAATCATCTCTCCGGCACACGCCACACGCAACAGCTCACCTATCTGATCCTCTATCTTGAGCCGGTCCTTCTTCATGTGAGGCACAGAGTCCGAGTGGATGATGGCCGCGTGGTTCACTTTCTTCAGCACGGGGCAGTTGTGGGTGTCGGGGATCAGGATGTTCATCTCTTCATCGCTGGAGATGTAGATGTGGATGGGGCTGTGGCATCGTCGGGCTGAGCATGAAATAATAATGTTAATAATTATAATATCAATGATAATAATAACAATGAAAATAATAATGAAAGTAGTAATAATAATAATAATAATAATAATAATAATGATAATAATAATAATAATAATAATAATAACAATGAAGATAATAAAACAATATATAATGATTACAAGAATTTAAAAGAAAATAAATGAAAAGATAATAATAATAATAATAATAATAATAATAATAATAATAATAATAATAATAATAATAATAAGGCTGATGATAAAACACGTCGCGTCTGTTAACTCACCGTACTCCGTGAGCTTGTCCTTGCCGAAAAAGCCAGCCAGGACACAGCGGGCAGACTGCACTGTACGTTGTATATTGGTGGACAAAACACTGGGAAATAGAGAAAAAATAATTTCTTTTTCCGTAAGAGTTTTACGGCACTTGCAACACAATGAGGTCATATAAGTGCCGAAGATACGTTGTATATTGGTGGACAAAACACTGGGAAATAAAAAAATAAAAAATTCTAAATTTCCGTAAGAGTTTTACGGTACATCTACCAAAATAAAGTCATATAAGTGTCGAAGGATAGAAGTGTTGTAAGAGAGTAACATACATAAAAAAAGGAGAGATAAGGACGATAGATGTTTGATAGGAAAGAAGCAGCAAACCACACCAGAGCACCCGCCAACCACCCACAAAAATATTCTTAAGAGTTAAACCTCAAGTATCATCATTCTCTCTCTCTCTCTCTCTCTCTCTCTCTCTCTATATATATATATATATATATATATATATATATATATGCTATTTGCCCTAGCACGCAGGAGACATGAGTGCGATTCCCAAGTGGGAAAGTGTTTCACCGAGTATCTCTCCCTCCCTCTCTCTCTTTCTCTTTTGTGTGTGTGTGTGTGTGTGAGAGAGAGAGAGAGAGAGAGAGAGAGAGAGAGAGAGAGAGAGAGAGAGAGAGTCGAGCGTGTGTATTGTTCGTGCTTGTGTGTGTGTATTGTGCGTTTGTTGCGTGTGTTTGTGTGTATGCATTCATGTGTGTCCGCGCGCGTGTCTGAGTGTGTGTATTATACCGTTGTAAGTGAGTGAGTGAGTGAGTGAGTGAGTGAGTGAGTGAGTGTGTGTGTGTGTGTGTGCGTGTGTGTGTGTGTGTGTGCGCGTGCGTGCGTGCGTGCGTGCGTGCGTGCCTGTGTGCGTTCGTGCGCGCGTCTGTGTGTGCGCACGGTGCCCGTGCATGCGTCTGTGTGTGCGCGCGCGAACTTCTGGTTCTTCAAACAAAGCACAACTGATTTTTACGTATGTGGCCGTGATTGCTTTCAGGCAGTCACATTCCGATTTCGAATGTACCGTACTCAATGTTTTTATACTGATTAAAGTATTTTCAGTTTTTGTCATTATCATCACCAACATCATTGCCTTTCTCACCCTGCACCACGAACAAACACTTTCCACCTTTCCCTATCCTGGGCGAGTCGCTTGATGTCACTCCATGTCTTTTCTGTATATCCATTTCTTTACTCTTCTCCAGGTCCCACTTGGTCTTCCCCTTGATCTTTTACCACGTGGGTTCCAATCTAACACTTTTTGGTACGAATCAGGAATTCATTTTGAATTTCGCCTTGGGGGCGGCCGAATCTTACTCTTATCGGTTTTAGGATAACCAAGGGATCTTTAACGCGCGCAACTTGCGCACGGGACCTCCGATATTTTTTCGCCCTTATCGGAGAAAGATAGATCTAGGTGTCTGTCTCAGATCTGAAAAGTCTTGATGATGATGATGAAACAAAAGTCTAAAAAAGTAAGCGCCAAACGAAGAAATAAACTAACACACCGAGATGACCTTGCACATAATTTCCAACATTATAGCATCATCATCGTTACTGCCGCCACCATCACCACCTTCATCACCATCATCATCGCCATCACCATCATCACTTCCCCTTTTTCTTGTTTTGTTTTTCTTGAAGCACAACAATTTTTGTACCATGTTGGCACATATTTACGTAACTTAAAAAATAAATGATCACTTTTAAGCACAAGGGGGCTATCCTAAAAAAATGCTGTTTTGAGCGAGCAAATCGAAGGCAAAGTTTTTGCACCTTGTTCAATTTCTTTATAAGACAAGGAGAGCTAGCTTTCTCTATAACAAAAAAATAAAAATAAAATAAATATATATATATTTATATACACACCAATGAAACCAAACTTCTGTTATAGGTAGGGCAATGCCCACTTTTGGTTTAGGTCAAGATTTGTGGAAACCCCCCAAAATCTGGATTAGCCCGCTAGTCCTTAAAAGCACCAAATATCGGCACCAAAATCAGGACATGGGTACAACAACAAACCCCCCCCCCCAAAAAAAAAAAACAACAAGAACAAAAAAACAAGAACAAAAACCAAACAAACAAGAAAGAAAACCCCATGATTGATTGACTGATTGAGTAGGTGTTTTACGGCACTATTGACTCAATTTTGGTTTGTTTTTTTAAACAACACCCCCCCCCCCCCCCTTTCATTCAATATAAAAAGGAAAGGGGGTTCTCCAAGGCCCGGTCGTAGTCGTGTAGGGCCAGGCGGTCCCTGTAGGAGGCCTGGAGACGTCTGCCCAGCCGGGAGAAAAGGGTCATCTCCGGGCTGTTGCGAGACACACTAAGGCCCCCGTTGAACCCCCCCCCCCC